AATATTAGGATAGGATGCGCTATATTTTTTAACTGGAAGAATTTTTTTCATGTTTTCCCATATCAGACATTTGAAGAAGCTGATACAAAACATGATGGCAAGATTGACAAGGAGGAGTGGCACAATCTAGTATTGCGGCATCCTTCACTATTAAAGAACATGACTCTTCAATACCTCAAGTAAAACCTGCACTTTATTTCTTTCTCTTATTGTCTAATATGCATATATTTATTGACCCGAAGTTTCAGAATTATTGTTCTTTTTCTTTAATTGATTACTTACCTAGTTACCGGCAAAATCTTCAATTGATTACTTACCGAGTTACCGGCAAAAACTTCAAAGTGATTTAGATCTAAATATTTATTTTTTATCACCACACGCCTGTGATATTTGAGGGAAAAATTGCAACTATGAATTCTAGTGGAACCGTAAAGCCTAAACCTTCTTTCACCTTAGAAGCCTCCGAGGCGACGAAACAAACTGCTCATGACTTGGCTTCGTGTGTTGTGGGTGTGAAACAGGATCTTTATGCTAAAAAAACATAGGAAAGATTTGTTGAAAGCTTCTTCACCTTATGCATGAAAATGAGTTTTTCACTTTTTAAAAGCTAAAATAATGATGTTTTTTTGTGATATGAAAGATTTTGGCGGTATAGATGTTGAAAGCAAAATTTTAGTTTTTGATATGCAAATACATAAGAATTGGGTGGCATGTTTGTAAATGCCCTCTTTTTTCTATTAGCATTGGTTATATAGTTGTGTAAAATTGGTCACATGACAAATTGACTCATCAACTGATTTTATGCATCAAAACAATATAAATAGAATATACCAAAGTTTTTAATGCTATTTTTGGTTGGTTAAACAAGTTTAATTACAAATTAAGAGATTATGCTAATGGTGATTATGTTGATCAGGGATATCACTACCACATTCCCAAGCTTTGTGTTCCACTCACAAGTTGATGACACATAATAATGGATGGCTATGGGGATTCAAGTGTGATGGTATTGTGTAACGTGTTTGGATAAAAAAGTGCTTATAATGCATTGGATATGGAAACATATGAGCTACGGATTATATTCATTTTCTGGAGAAAATATGTCTATGTTCAGTATTTGCAGGATTCTATTGTTGTGTTTTTTTGGAAGAAATTGTTATTTTTTAAATTCATTTATTTTTGATTTTTTTTTCTTTGGCTTTTTTGAGGGATTCTTTTTTAGCTAATTGAGCTCATGACAACTCCTATTCTTGTCATATCTTTGGCTTTTTTGAGGGATTCTTTTTTAGCTAATTGAGCTCATGACAACTATTCTTGTCATGATTGATGAGCATTAGTTCTTAAAGGCTCATTGTGCAAGCTTAATGATTCCTCTCATCTAACAGATTGATGAGCATTAGTTCTTAAAGGCTCATTGTGCAAGCTTAATGATTCCACTCATCTAACATACATGCCACTCAATTCTTATGTATTTACATATCTAACACCCATGCTTTCAATTTGGACATAAATGCCACCTCCTTATCCTATGCATGAAGTTGTTTACACCGCTTTTATGTCTTCTGAAATATTTGGGTGGTATAAATATAGAAGTAGTAAAGTTTAGGCGTTAGATATGTAAATGCATAAGAATTGAGGTTATGTTATGTAAATGTCCCTAGAATTAAATAAGAAAGGAAATATTATCATGATATCTTGATAGAAAATTGGTCTAGATGATCTTCAAAGTTCTAGGATTTGTTTTAAGATGAGTGTAATTAATAATGTATATAAACTTGTTTAAAAGTAGTTCCAAATATTGAAGGCTTATTTTAATAAAAATTCAATCATAATGTCTTGAATAAATTCTTTTTAATTATTGAAAAAGGAAACAAAAATGTTTAATTTATTAAAATTCTATCATTGTTTAAAAAAAAATTAATTATTTTTTTTATTTTTGCTTAAAGAAAAATATGTAGTAGTTGGCATGTATATTTTTATCTTAAAATATATTGTTAATGTGTTAATTAATTTTAATATTTTAATAATAAGCTTTTTATGATTATGTTCTTATAAAATGGAAAATTTACTTGATGCATGTAACTTCAGCAATGCTGTGTTACTCTAACCTTTTAGTGCTTGGATTATAGGGACATGTGGATTATGCTTCCTTTTTATGATTATGTTCTTATAAAATGGAAAATTTTCTTGATGTATGTAACTTGAACAATGCTGTGTTACTCTAGCCTTTTAGTGCTTGGATTATAGGGACATGTTGATTATGCTTGGTGTTTTTATAAAAATGACACAATTTTGTGCTCGTGGTTTTCATCTCGTCCATTGTGTTTTTTATCCTAATTCTCTTTGGACAATCACATCTTCTTCAAAATAGAGTGGAAAGTAAAGTGATAATACCTTTTTGTTGATTGTATGGTGGCCATGAATCCATCTCAATTATCATATGAAATATTGTTTCATGTGTGTTGATGGAAATCTAACGTGAAATGTTTTGAAACAAAAGTTAAGTGGTCAGAACGTCTGGACCCCAATGCCGCAATCGCATGCACACGTGATAGTAGATAGAATTGTGGCGTATAATTAGGGCTGTCAAAACGGCTCGTTGTTCGCGAACAACTCGTGTTTTGACTCGTTAAGAAGCTCGTGTTAGGCTCGTTCGATAAGCTAACGAGCTGAACATGAACAACAAAAACCAATATTTGTTCGTTCATGTTTGACTAGTTTTGACTTGAAATACTACCAATCAATTATATATATATCTTTGATGAGTAGTATTTTTTAAAAAAAATTAATTGACTTCAATGCTACAAAGATTTATAATTAATTAAAAGTATTAATGAAGAAAATAGAATAAAAATTATTAAATTAGATGCAAATGATGTTTTAAATCTTGTCCAATTCTTTAATATCTTATGACTACGTGATTGGGGTTGTCAAAACGACTCTTTGTTCGTGAACGGTTCGTGTTCGGCTCGCTAAGCAAACGAGTCGAACACGAACACACTTTTTGAGCTTGAAATATAAACGAGTCGAACAAAAGTTGAGCCTGGGCTCGCTCGGGTTCCGCTCCTTTTCCACCCTAGTCACGGGTG